AGTTCTGTTTTCCACTGAACCCCTCAGCGTGGCACAGAGCCTCATCCCCCCCCCCCCCACCAAGTGATCCTTCGGCTGAAGCCAAGAGCTTTCAGGGAGCACATGAGCATGAAGAGGGTCAGGGAACACCCAGTGGGATGACTGCCAGGAGGAAGGAAGATGAAACTGGGGAGATGGTATGAGATCTTGGGGTAAGTGGAGCCTGGTTACACTGAGAATGGTCAGGAAGGCTCTCTCACAGGAGCTGAGGTTAAGCCACGAAGCTCAGCATGGAGCTTCTGTCCCCATAGTAGAGAGATGCGGAAAGTCAGGGCTAAGGGGCTGGGGGCAACTCTGTCACCCTCACTGCCTTACTGTTACTCCTCTTCTTAAGGATCACCACTTCCACATCAAGGCCCTGCCACGTGGCTCTCACCATAACTTCGAGATGTCATTTCCATTCAGAGGGAGGTGCTGCTCTATCATGTCTAAGAAGAGGAAGGACAAGAGCCCAAGCCATCTGCCTCCATGGGCAGCCTCTTTCAGAACATTTGATGGGTCACATGTGGGACTACAAGCATTTGCTATCAGGAGAAAAGGCCCTGCTCTGTGTCCCATTCAATCTCTGCCTACTGAAGGGTCAAAAGGGGGTGATCAGACTATTCCCGACCTGTTCCCTTGGTGGGGAGGTAGGAGCACACTTCTGACCTGCAGGGCAGAGACAAAGCTGGGGTACAGGGAACTGAACCCTCATATATATGCATGTGGAGCTGGTGGAACCTGCTGTGGCCAGTGGAGTCACCAGGGCCAATGCACTGATAGGGGTAGTATTATGGAAAGTAAAAGGTGCCTAGGGTGCCTAGGTTATTTCTACATTCCTACAACTACTAATGAAACTACAATTACTTCAAAGTAATACACCCAAAACAAATGGAAAAAAAAAAAAGATTATGCAGCAATGTACTAAAAAACAAACAAAAACTTCAAGAAACATTTTGAGTAATAACAGCAAAATCAGAATAAAGAGCACTCCAGATGAGCCTGAGGACAGTTGGCCTGTGTGCTTAAACATCAATAACCACATACATCAGGCCTGCCTTCACATGAGTGTGCATGGGCACCCAGGATGACTTCCTACAATGCACACAAATGTGGCCTGCCCTTCTGAATGGCATATGTGACAGAATACTTGCACTCTAGGGAGTCAGGCTAGCCCCATGTGCCTGGGTAACCTGCAGAGCCTTCTGTGTAGGGCTGGACCTCTCCAGTAATGGCACACCTGCCCTAGGGCTCCCTTATCTGCCCCCTAGTCCTGCTGTCCTCTGGAAACACCTATACACACACATGCCCACACACAAAGGTGTGGTTACTAGGGAACATGTTTACAGTGTGACACATGGACTCTGAGTGCAGTGGTGTGACAGGCAGCAAAGTAACAACAGAGGCATCCATTCCTGCAGCATCAAGACTCATTTGCCTCCCTTTGCCTGTGAGGCTGGGAGGACCTCAGTACTCAGAGCCTTTCTGTATGAACAAATGGTCACTGAACAGGTAAGAATGCATCAGACATAAAAACAAATCCCTAGGACTGGCACTGAAGCCACCCAGAGCCTCACACAGCTTAACCGCACCCAGTGGCTAACTGGTCCCACGGTGACCAGCTCCAAGTGCTACCTTTCAAGTGAGTCCCTCTTTGGTCCTCGAGTAAATATGACCCACTGTCTCCTCTAGTGTGTCAACACATACTCATTCATGACAGCTCCAAGGTGTGTCACAAACCATCCTGTTAAGAGTGGCTGTCCACACTCTGCGTGTACCGTAGGGAGACTCCTTAAGACAAGTCCCTTGGCCTTTACTTGGCATCCTGGTGTCCTTGGGGCCTAGCAGGGTGTGTGTAGCAGGTGCTTAGTACATTTAGCTAGGTTGAATTTGTTTAATTGGGTGAGATGACTGACTGCTGAGGATCTGAGTGTCTTCACAGACACACACAATGTATATGCATATATGGGTACCAAAGTGCACTGTATCAAGTAAAACAACAATTAATTATTGCTATTGCTGAAATAACTATAACAACACCATGCCCCAGTAGTCACATCTGAAACTAGGGCATCTCAATTTTACCAAGGTTTCAGCAATGTCAGATCAGCCACGGGTGCTGTGTGGAGGACCAGCAAACAGGAAGATAAAGCCAACCTCTCATCACACAGACAGGTAATGTCCAGGATCCCTCATAAATGCCAGTCCCGCCTCTCTGTCCCTCCACATAGCACAGGACTGACAGGAAACTAAAGCAGAGGACAGAGGAAGACTTGAGGACACCACCAGTCACACCTTTCCTTCATGTGGAGTCCACAGAAGTAGGAAGTTACAGGCTGGGGTGACGGGATTTTGTGTAAATGCTGCATGGGGAAGATTTAGAAGAGGGAGAGGCTGGGACACCAGTTCTTCACTGTGCTTGTGGTGGGTTTCTAATCTAGAAAACACCCGAGACTAAAAAGTGACAAACCAGTGTAAACATCTTAAAAGAGCAGCGTGTGTGTGTATGTGTGTGTGTGTGTGTGTGTGTGTGTGTGTGTGTGTGTGTGTATGTGTGTGGGGGGGTATGGGGGACTGAAGGGGGAAACTGGAGAAGTGAGAGCATCTGTGCAGGCAGCATCTGAACAGCCTCCAGGCCTGTTCCCTGAGTATGAAAGACCTAGTGTCCTACCAGGCCACGTTGCCATGGGCAGTGTTGTCAAGGTGACAGAGCAGCTCCAGGGTCTGCGCAGTGCTGGCAGAGTCGTCAGGGGACTCATGGCCGCCGGATTCCAATTCCTTGGGCATCCTCCACACAGCTGCACACGCCTGGACTCGACTGTCTGAAGCTGAGCAAGAGGAAAATGTCAGCAGGGCACAGATAACCCACAGCACTCAGCACTCACACACACACACAAACGGCACAGCTACTCCCTAAAACATTAAAGCACAGGCAGCAGACTGTGGAGGCAGGCCCAACCCGAGGTGGCCATCAGAGCCAGGCACAGCGTGGACTGGCATTAAGGAGCCCACCATATCCTGGTTTGAAATCTATCATTCTGCTGTAGAGAATTTAATTTTTGAAAATCAGTTTCATTTGGTCCTTCAATAGTTCTTTAAAAAAGGAACAAGATGAGGCCACAGCCATAATTACCATGCCCATGCCTTAGGTCTCTCTATTCATAGCTTCACAGATTCATAAACAGATGCCAAGCACTGAAATGTTCTTCATTTGGCAATACGGTTAGTAGCAATAATCTGCCTCAGTTTACTTAAATTAACCAGTTCTGGGCCAAGACAGCAAGGTCACTCAGAGATGTTATGGGCTGAAAACTATGTATTTTACTCATGGCCAGCTGGTATGTGGGAGGAGCTGGCCAGGACCTAAGCACACCTGTATGGCTGGAAGAACAGAGGCCAGGCTCTAAGCATACCTACGTGGCACCCCCTGGAACATGGTCTATCCTCCAGCTCCCACTGCAGGTGGCCAAGGGCCAGTCTTTGAGCCTTGACACCCTGGTTTTACAGACAGCCCAAGGACATAGGTAATCTTGGAATACCCTGAAAAGTCACATGTGGATGCGGACATTAACTCACATGGAACAGCAGGGTCACAGCACTCCAGGCCTGTGCCAGGCCAGGTCCAGCCCCTCAAGAAAATGTCTCAAGCCAGGTGTGGTGGTGCATGCCTTTAATCCCAGCACTCGGGAGGCAAAGGCAGGCAGATCTCTATGAGTTTGAGGCCAGCCTGGTCTACACAGCAAGTTCTAGGCCAGCTGGGGCTACAAGGAGACCCTGTCTCAAAAATACCAAAAAAGAAAAAAGAAAAAGAAAATGTCTCAAAAGCATAGAGTTTTTTAAAATGGGATTTTACAACAAATTTTGAAACATAAATGCTTTTAAAATTTGCTTTCCATGGCGTTGGAGAGATGGCTCAATGGCTAAGAGCACTGGCTGTTCTTGGTGAAGACTGGGGTTCAAATCCCAGAACCCACATGGTGACAAACAACCATTAGTAACTCCAGTTCCAAAGAATCCAACCCCCTCTTCTGTTCTCCTCGGGCACTGCATGACACCAGTGCACTCACACACATGCAAACATAACTAACTCATACACATAAAATAAAAATTGAAAAAAAATTTTTTTTAATTTGCTTCCCATTTAGTTTTACTTTGGTTTAGGTTTTTGTTGTTCTTTATGTTTCTGAGACAGTCTCATGTAGCCCAGGCAGTCCTTTAACTTTCTATATAGCTGAAGATGGCCTTGAACTCCTGTGCTTCAGCCTCCACCTCTCAAGTTCTGGGACTGCAGCACCATCACCTCAGCTTCCACAGCTGTAAGTTGCAAAAGTGAGAAACAGCATCCCATGAACAGGTCCTGTGTGAAAACAGCTGTTCTGTAGAGGGACCAGGGGGCAGGTAGGCACTGGTGTAAAAGCAGATGTTCTGTGGCGTGACCAGGGGCTACTGGGCACTGGTTTGTGAAAGCAGCTGCTCTGTAGAGTGACCAGGGGGCAAGTGGGCACTGGTGTGAAAGCAGCTGTTCCAGAGAGTGACTAGGGGCAGGTCCCTGGTGTGAAAAGAGCTGCTCTATGGAGGGACCAGGGGGTAGGTGGGCACTGGTGTGAAAGCTGTAGAGTGACTTCTGGCAAGCTCCTGGTGAGATCAGCTGTCCTAAGCCTAACTTTCACCAGATTCTTTGATCACATCCAAATGACCCCCAGGATGGAAAAGGGACTTGTGACATAATATTTTCTACTTTCTAATAAGCTCTCTCCTTTCAAAGCCTACACCAGATAGAAGGAAGGAATGCTTAAATGACCAGTCTGTTTATCAGGTGTCCTTAATCTCTGTTCACCCTGAATTGTTGACCAGTCCACACCTGAACCCTCTGTGACATGAGAGTAACTGGGGAACACTTAAGAAGATACTGTTGACAGAATATATACTCACTTCAACTACCATACCATTCTAAGAAATTCCTAATATAGCAAAGAGGGTCTTTTAGTTCTATTTTCTTTTGTTTTATTATTGCTTTTCTTCTACTTTGTTTTAAATCCATAAACCCACATGGATAAAAGCAACAAAAGCAAATTAGACAGAAAACAAAAGACCCAGTGCCAAATGACTTAGCACAGTAAATTATTCCCCGAGGCAGCAGTGAAGGCTCAGACCAAGCATATTTATATCATTCATAGACTGGTGGAGCTGGCAGCACCCAGCTCTCCAGAAGATGGGTAAACAGGTTGGAAAAAATGCCAGGCACAGTGGCACAGTTCCATAATGTCCAAACTGGGGAGGCTGAGGCAGGAAAATGAGGCGCTCAAGGCCAATCTGAGCAATAGCCCAAGATCGGTCTCAAGAAATAGGTAAACACAAAATCCAAAGGAAAGTGAATCTGGCTCTTCATTTCAAAAGTGGTGATACATGGTGGCACAGGCTGCCAACATGGATGATATGGGAGTATCTCTACAGAGTGCAAACACTGTAAAGATGTTATGAACAAACATGTTATAGATGCTTAAAATTCAGATTAAATGGTAAATTCCTAGAAATATCAACTTAATAACAGAACTGACAGAGGAAATATAAATTTTAACTAGATCAATATCTCTTTAAGGTTCAGCAAGAAGGTTCAATGGGTAAAGGGACTTGCCATCAAGCCTGAAGATCTGAATTCAATTCCCAGAACCCACATGATGGAAGGAAAGAATCAATTCTCTCAAGCTTTCCTCTAACCTCCACAGAAGTACTGTGTTATGCACTGCACATGTGTACATGAGCACACCATAAATACAAATTAAAAAATGTAAAAAAATTCTTACATAGAAACCACTGAACTCAGTGGTGAATTCATGCCATGAATTCTTCCATGAATTCAAACAAAAAGCAGAACACAAGTGTGGTAATGAGTGCCTATAATATCAGCACTCAGGATGTGGGGGGTGGGGGAGGAAGACTGACAAGTTCAAAATTAGCTGGGCTACATGGTGAGATTTTGACTCAAAATGGGGAGAAGAGAAAGAGGAAGGAAGGAGAGAGGAAGGAAGAGAGGAAGGGAAGGAGGGAAGAAGGAAGGGAGGGAATGGCAATACTTGCCTGATGAGATTCTGAAGGGCAGAAAAGAAACCATGCCTCATCATGCTCATATATACAGATGTGAAAGTGTTCACAAATACAGTCCAATGGTGTATAAAATGAATACAGTGTCACAAAGAAATGAGGCTGGGCTGAAAGATAGCTCAGTGGGTAAAGGCAACTGCCTCTAAGCCTGAAACCTAAATTTGATCCCCAGAACTCACATGGTAGGAGAGAACTAACTCCTACAAGTTGTCCTCTGACCTGTACATGTAGTGTAGACACATTGTGGACACAATCATGGACACACATACAAACACACATATGCACAAGAATGAATTAATTAAATGGATGAATGAAATAAAAACATTTTAAAACAAGGAAATGAGATCAAGCCCAACATATAAAGTATTTACTAATGGAAAAATGAAGCAATATAATTCATTCCATAGACAAGCTAAAGGAAAAACATATACGACCATCACAAATATAGAACATTTAATACAATTCAATCCTCATTTCAAATAACACTCTTTGCAGTCTAGAAAAAGAAGAAAATTTACTCAGAGAAGAGGGAAGGAGGAGAGATGAGGGGAGGAGGCAAGGAGAGGAAAAGAAGGGGAAGGGAAGAAAGGAGAAGGGGGAGGGAAGGGCTGGAAGCAAAGGAAAAGTCCAAAGCAAAAAGAGCAGTTGTGGATGAAATGTTAGAGCTGTCCTCTGAGAAAGGGCATCAGGCAGCTTTATACACCACGCACAGTTGACACTACACTAAAAGCACAGTTAGTTCTTACTGTGTGGACAGAATAAAAGTATAAGAACAGGAAAAGAAAGAGATCAAAATGTCAGTGCTACTTAATGATTATGTGAATAGAAAACAGATAAATCTACATCACACTGTCAGAAACAAAATAGGAAATTCAGCAAAATTGTTGAATGCAGAGTGATATAAAAGCCAGTTGAGGAGGCTGAAGAGTTGGCTCAGCGGTGCTTGCTGCTCTTCCAAAAGATCCAAGTTCAATTCCTAGCACACACATCAAGCAACGCCCAACCACCTATAACAAGAGGTCCAGGGGATCCGATGCCTCTGGTCTCTGCAGGCACCTGTACTCATGTATTTACACAAACACACACACACACACACACACACACACATACACACACACACACATAAAAATAAAACCATTTTTTTAAAAAAAAATTAGGTATCTATTGATTATCAACTATTTAAAAAATGAAAATTTTGCTGGGCATGGTGGCACACGCCTTTAATCCCAGCACTTGGGAAGCAAAGGTAGGCAGATCTCTGTGAGTTCAAGGCCAGCCTGGTCAACATAGCAAGTTCCAGGTCAGCTAGGGCTACAGGGAGACCCTGTCTCAAAAAGACCAAAAAAAAAAAATGTTTTAATTAATTAAAAATAAGTTTTTTTAATTAAAAATTTATAATAATACTAAAAATGGCACTAAAAATCTAAGTACCTCATAATATTTAAGCTAAAAGTGTGCAAGAATATGTGTGTAATAAAACAAAACACTGATAGCTGTGTGTGGTGGCACACACTTTTAATCCCAGCACTCAGAAGACAGATCTCTGTAAGATCAGGGCCAGCCTGATCTACATAGTGAGTTTCAGGCCAGCTGGGCTACAGGACAACCCCATTTCAAAACACCAAAATAAATGAATAAATAAACAGAACAAACAAACAAATTACAAAACACTGGTGAGAAAAGTCAAAGAAGCATATGGAGAGATAGGCCATATTCATGGAGCCGA